AGCCGAGATTCAGATGGAGGCCAGGCAGTTCAAGAGGTTTGCAGAGGAGAAAATGGCGCACGACCAGCAGGAGACCTTGGCATTGGAGGATTTGCTGTACAAAAGAGAGCAGGCCATTCAATCTCTGACTTGTGAGGTGGAGGCTTATAAGCACAGGATGATGAGTTACGGGCTCACGGAGTCCGAAGCTGATGGCATGCTCGATGGGTACAAGACTCACGGGAGCATGAGCCGGAACACGAGCATGACCGAGAATCTTGAAAACCCGTTCGGTTTTCCCCGTTACGAAATTTACCCTCCACTAAAGGTTAATATCAACGAATCCCACGCGTATATGGACGGTGATGATGATGAGGCTGTTGCGGATGATGTTGAGAAATACGCATCGGATGAAACTCCGAGCTCTCGTCACCAGCTCAAAGATTTGGAGTTCCGAATCAATCAGCTGGAGAAAAACAGCCCGCGGACCATCCAGCCTGATCGGGAGTCAAGAAATGTGCTCGAGAAGGTGATCGTGGGCCATTCTCCAAGGCGGACCAACAAGCATCTCAGGAAGTTCTCTACAGACAGCTCAGGCTCGGTTTGTGGTGCAGTGGGCAAGGAGACAGGCCCAAACTACTCTCCGAGGTTCGGGGCCAGCTTCAGGAAGGCTGAACTTTCACATCTGGACTTGCGTTCGAATTTGAAGAAGGCAGATAGTGGGTCAGAGGCTGGGGATGAGACCGATGACAGGGTTTACACGATAGATTCGATACATCAGGGAGCCCCGCCGAATGGTTTAGCTGACCACAAGGCATCTGTAGGAGTTGTTGGGGATGATTATGCAGTGACTCCGAGGGATTCGGATTTGGAGATACAGAAGCTTTATGCGAGGCTCCATGCGCTCGAGGCCGATCGTGAGTCCATGAGGCAGGCGATTATTTCGATTGGAACTGATAAAGCACAGCTGGTGCTGCTGAAGGAGATTGCTCAGAACCTTTGCAAGGAGATGTCGCCGGCGAGGGTGGTGCCACCAAGGAGGCAGGTGGCGTTGAGGAGTTTCTCTTTCATGTCGGTATTGAAGGTAATGATGATCGATTCTCTTAATGATTTTAATTAGTGCCATTCATGGTGGAAAATTTGCAGTTTTGTGCTTATCTAGAGTTACACTAGTGAAGGGGGAAATGTTATTGGGTTGGAATAGAAACTGCATAGTGTCCTGAAATTTTTATTGTGTCTGAATTTTGTTTTTGGGTTGGAATAGGATCAAGATCAGAGCTTACACATAGTATTCGTTTGAGGTTCCTTTTTAGGAAGTACTTGAGAGGGCTTTAGAGGATGATGATTTACGTTATTTAGTTTATGCAAAGAATAATATGAGTTCTCATAACCTCTACAATAGCTTATGGTTTTCATAATAATGCTGTTCAATGCATTTCAACAACTGGTAGTGGAGTTATCTGTAAAATTCTAATTTTTTTGACCTGTTTTTTTATTAGGATTCTTCAATCAAATGCATCTTTTACCTGAAATGCTATTGTGAGATATAGTTGTTGCATCCCTTTTAGATCAGGGTCACATGGCTACTCTGTGTTTGCTCTTTCAAATGCTCTGTGGGTACACTCTGGTGTGGTGTTTGTGTTACTTTTCGTTACGTGCTGTGGTTCCATTTTGTAGTTGCAATTTTTATTTATTTCTTCTGCTTCGCTATTCATTCATCACCTTTTCTATTTTTGGCTTCCTTAAGAATTTTTCTTCTGCAAAGCAATTTTATTTTTTTATTTTTATTTTTTATTTTTTTTTTTCTATTTAGGTAACTTTAGTTCCAGTTAATGAAATGCATTTAGGAAATTACAAAAATTTACATTTAAAAGAGTAGCCACTTTTTGCGAACAAATACCATCCTGTAACATGTTTTTGGACCACCTTGCAAAGCCTGGAGTTCTCAATTGTTTTCAAATTTTGCTATGCTTTCTTTCCTAATTCGCAATATAATTTGCAGTCTTCGTCTAGTTTTCCTGACATGTCTTGATAAAAGGCTCAAAGCATACTTGTTTGGAATAAATTTTGTTATTGCTTCTATCTTGGAATTTTAGTAATGTACACCTTATTTTTATTTTTCAACCTCATCTCAGAAAGCTAGTTATTATCTATTTGACCAAGTGCGGATACAATTTTGATTTAATTCCTGGACTCTACTCCCCATTCTTCATATCTAGTTTTCTATTTGACCGAGTGCGGATACTATGTTGAGTTATTTCATGGACTCTATTCCCCATTCTTCATATACCCTGTGTACTGACGGCATATTTCTCATTATCAGTGGATAGTCTCTTTTGTTTTCTGGAGAAGAAAAGCTCGCAGATGCAAGTGAGTACATTCTCATTAAATTTACTTTACTAATTTTGCTATATAATAAAAGAGAGGATAATATAAAGGGAAGATAATTTAATTTTCATACATTCCTCGAGAATAAGTGAAGAAGTGTAATCAAAGATATGATAATATAAATGGAAGATAATTGAATGAAATTGATAGTTTAAATTGATGGATAAGATAGGTGTTTATGCTACTGTTATTGTCCCGTATTTTTCACCTTTTTTCCTTTCATTTCTTTTAGGTACATGTTTGGGCTGTCGACCGATAATGCTGGCTTGTTAATGCTTCTCGACCGAGGTGGGCAATGGAGATGCATAACGAGTCGAAGTACATGAAACTAATACAAGGTGCTTCCCATGTGAAATCGACAGTCCCATTAAGAGCTTGTTTCCTTAAAGCTTCATATATCAGATTATGCCTCACGTTGTTTTTTCTTTTCTATCTGGTTTTTTTTTTTTTT